GCTCACTGCAACCTCCACGTCCAGGGTTCAAGCGATTCTCCTGCCTCAGCCTCCTGAGTAGCTGGGACTACAGGCATGCGCCACCATGCCCAGCTAATTTTTGTATTTTTAGTAGAGACGGGGTTTTACCATGTTGGCCAGGATGGTCTCGATCACTTGACATCGTGATCCGCCCACCTCGGTTTCCCAGAATGCTGGGATTACAGGCATGAGCCACTGCGTCCGGCCTTGTTTTGTTTTTTGAGACAGTCTCACTCTGTTACCCAGGTTGGAGTACAGTAGCACAATCTCAGCTCACTGTAGCCTCCACCTCCTGAGTTCAAGTTATTCTCCTGCCTCAGCCACCCAATTAGCTGAATTACAGGTGCCTGCTACCATACCCAGCTAATTTTTGTATTATTAGTAGAGATTGGGTTTCACCATGTTGGCCAGGCTGGTCTCAAACTTATGAGCTCAAGTGATCCACCCATCTCAACCTCCCAAAGTGCTGGGGTTACATGCGTGAGCCACCACGCCTAGCCTATTGTTCCCACGTTTATGTCTATGTGTGCTCAATGTTTAGCTCCCACTTATAAGTGAGAACATGTGGTATTTGGTTTTCTGTTCCTGAGTCAATTCACTTAGGATTATAGCCTCCAGCTCCATCCATGTTGCTGCAAAGAACATGATTTCATTGTTTTTTATGACTGTGCCTTTTCCCCTACATTTTCTTCCAAGAGTCTTATAGTTTTTGTTCTTATGGTTAGGCCTTTTACTCATTTTGAGTTAGGTTTTGTATATGGTATCAGGTAAGGGTCCAACTTAATTCTTTCACATGTGGATATCTAGTTTTCACAGCATAATTTGTTTACAAAGGCTGTCTTTCCCCATGGAATGATTTTGGCACCTTTGTCAAAAATCACTTGACCGTATATACAAGAGTTTGTATCTGGGCTCTCTATTTTACTTCATTGGTCTACGTCTGTCTTTATTTCAGTACCACACTCTTTTGTTTACTATGGTAAGGTTTGAAATCAGGAAGTTTGAGTCCTCCAACTGTCCCTTTTCAAGACATTGTTTTGGCTATTCAAGGGCCATTGAGATTCCATGAGAATTTTAGGATGAATGTTTCTATTTCTGCAAAAAAATCCTTGGGATTTTAATAGGGAATGCATTCAACCTGTAGATCATTTTGGATAGTATTAACATTTTAACAATATTAAGTCTTCTTGGCCAGGTGCTGGGACTCACATCTTTAATCTCAACACTTTGAGGCGCCAAGACAAGAAAGATCACTTGAGCCCAGGAGTTCAAGACCAGCCTGGGCAACATGGCAAGACCCTCGTTGGTACAAAAAATGTAAAACTTAACTGGATGTGATGGCACACACACCAGTGGTCCTGGCTACTCAGGAGGCTGAGGTGGGAGGATGGCTTGAGCGCAGGAGGTTGAGGCTACAGTGAGCTATGATTGCACTATTACACTCCAGCCTGGTCAAGAGAGTGAGTGAGACCCCATCTAAAAAAAAAAAAAAGAAAAAAAAAGGCCGAGTGTGGTGGCTCACACCTGTAATCCCAGCACTTTGGGGAGGCCAAGGAGGGTGGATGACTTGAGTTAAGGAGTTGGAGACCAGCCTGGCCAACATGGTGAAACCCTGTCTCTACTAAAAGTACAAAAATTAGCCGGGCATGGTGGCAGGTGCCTGTAATCCCAGCTACTCGGGAGGCTGAGGCAGGAGAATTGCTTGAACCCAGGAGGTAGAGGTTGCAGTGAGCCGAGATTGCGCCACTGCACTCCAGCCTGGGCAACAGAGCGAGACTCTGTCTCAAAAAAATAATAAATAAATAAATAAATATTAAAAATTTAAAAAACAAAGCAAAAGCAAACGAACTAAAAAACAGTATTAAGCATTCCAATTCATGAACATGGGATGTCCTACCACTGTCTTCTTTAATTTTTTTCACCAATGGTTTATAATTTTCAGTATACAAGTCTTGAAAGTCATATTTTAAATAATACCATGCCAGTATGTTTGGGCCAACTGCAGCCCTCTAGCACAGGTTTAAGAATTCTGTGGGTAATGCTCTGAGTGTCATGATAGAGAAAATTTCCAGTGCTGCTGAAACCTAACAGAATATGTATCATGTCTTGTTTTTTCTTTAGATAAAATCTGAGCTCCTTAAAGTCAAGGAAAGTGCCTTCTCTGCCTTTCCTGAGAATACCAAAGACACACCAATTAGCATCCACCCAGTAACTATTTAAAAATGCAAATTTAGTCAGATTTCCTTGCTCTAAACCATTCAAAATCACTGCTATTAGGACAGCTGTTATTAGTGTGTTCACCAAAACCCTGCGGGACAGTTCCTGTCAAACTCTCCAATCTTAGTAGGAAGTCCCCTTCCTACTCCCTCCCCGCTCTCCAATCATTCCAGCCTTCTTTTCATCTTGCTAAAAAGATGTTTTCAAACATTTCTGAGTGCAGCCCACAGAAAGAAATTTATTTTACATTGCAACCCTGTTGATATATATAATGAACAAAAGTTTTGCAAAGCAGTATTTAGCTTTACTACTTTTATACATTGTATTCTAATATTTTTCTTATTTATTGTATAGACTTGGGGTCTCACTTTATTGGCCAGAGTGGTCTTCAAGTCCTGACCTCAAGTGATCCTCTCACCTCAACCTCCCAAAGTGCTGGGATTACAGGTGTAAGCCACCGAACCCAACCTTTTCTCTTTTATTATTTATTATTTTAGTTTTTAGATCATTCTTTTATAGAGCAATATTTTATATTCTGGGCCTGGAACAGTGGCTCACACCTGTAATCCCAGCACTTTGGGAGGCCGAGGAGGGTGAATTGCTTCAGCCTAGGAGTTTGAGACGAGCCAGGCCAACATGGTGAAACGCCCCCATCTCTACTAAAAATACAAACGTTTTCCAGGCACAGTGATGGGCACTTGTAATTCCAGCTACTTCGGAGGCTGAGGCAGGAGAATCACTTGAACCCTGAAGGCAGAGGTTGCAGTGAGCCAAGATCACGCCACTGCACTCCAGCCTGGGCAACAGAGTGAGACTCTGTCTCAATCAATCAATCAATCAATAAAATTCTAGTTATTTATTTTTTTAAAAAGTTTGTACCCGCTAAATTGATACTGTGACCAATTAGTGGGGTACAACATATAGTTTGAAAAACAGTGCTCTGACTTGGGGCAGTGGCTGTCACCTGCAATCCCAGAATTTTGGGAGGCCAAGGTAGGTGGACCACCTGAGGTCAGGAATTTGAGACCAGCCTGGCCAACATGGTGAAACCCCGTTTCTACTAAAAACGCTAAAATTAGCCGGGCGTGGTGGCGCACACCTGTAATCCCAGCTACTCAGGAGACTGAGGCACGAGAATCTCTTGAACCCGGGAGGTGGAGGTTGCAGTGAGCCGAGATCGCGCCACTGCACTCCAACCTGGGTGACAGAGTGAGACTCCATCTCAAAAAATAAAAAACAAAAACAAAAAAAAACCAACCAAACACCAAAACAAAACAAAACAAAAAACAGCATTCTAAGCATTTTCTTTGCCTCAGGGCCATTGTGAATGCTACACCATCTGGAAAGTTTTTCTTGTATTCTCTTCACCTGGATAGATTTCTTTTTTCAGCCTTTCAGAAAGTACACCTAGATAGATCTTAATCATTTTTTTAAGGTGTGAAAGTCTAAGGATGCTGGACTCTCATGAGCTGCCTGCCTGTGTTTGAATCCTGAAGATAGTGATGTGTGACTTAATACGTGCTAAGAACTCGGAACAGTGAGTGGCGAATCGTAAAGCTGCTTCTTATAGTGCAAGTTAGAAATGACACGACTGTTTGTGTAACTATGAATATCTGTCTCTTCACACCTCCCACACTCTAAGCACAAGAAGCCACAGAATTTGGTTAATTTTTGTTCATGTTTTTGTTTGTTTGTTTGGTTTTGGGTTTTTTGTTTGTTTTTGACAGGCTCTCACTGTGTCGCCCAGGCTGGAGTTCAGTGGCACGATCTCTACTCGCTGCAACCTCAGCATCCCAGGCTCAAACGATCCTCTTGCCTCAACCCCTGATTAGCTGGAATTACACGCATCCGCCACCATACCTAACTTTTTTTTTTTTTTTTTTGAGACGGAGCCATTCTCCTGCCTCAGCCTCCCGATTAGCTGGGACTACAGGCTCCCGCCACCACGCCCGGCTAATTTTTTGTATTTTTTTAGTAGAGACGGGGTTTCACTGTGTTAGCCAGGATGGTCTCGATCTCCTGACCTCGTGATCCGCCCGCCTCGGCCTCCCAGAGTGCTGGGATTACAGGCGTGAGCCACCGCGCCTGGCCTTTTTTTTTTTTTTGAAACAGAATCTTGCTGTCACCCAGGCTGGAGTGCAGTGGTGCGATCTTGGCTCACTGCAACCTCGCCTCCCGGGTTCAAACAATTCTGCCTCAGCCTCCCAAGTAGATGGGATTACAGGAGCCCACCACCCCGCCCGGCTAATTTTTTTTTTTTTTTTTTTTTTTTTCGTAGAGGCGGGGGTTTCGGCATGTTAGCTAGGCTGGTCTCGAACTCCTGACCTCAGGTGATCTACCCGCCTCGGTCTCCCAAAGTGCTAGGTTTAACATGATGTCCAGGCTAATTCTGCTCATCTTTATATTCCCAGCGTCTCACTTGGCTTGCCATGTAAGAGACTCTCGGAATCAAAACGGAGAGAGGCTGGGGGTGGAGCCAGCTTCGGAAGTCAAGGCGGAGGGGCGGGGCGGGGCCTCGCCCACCAGGCCGCCGTCGGTCACGCGGGGTCCCGCTGGATTGCCGCGGGGCATACTGGGCCAAGATGGCAGCAATGACGAAGGCGCTTCCGCGGCGACTGGTGGGCTTGGCGTCCCTTCGGGCTGTAAGTGTCCCGAGCCGCCGAGGCGGCGGCCCTGCCAGCACTGTGACTGTCAGGGTCGGGGGCTTGGCCGTGGTGGCTGCTCTCTTAGAGGCGAGGCCGGATAGCTCTCAGGCCAGAGTCGGGAGGGCGTTGGAGTCCTGGACCCTCCCTGTTCCCCTCAAATCCTTTGAAGGGGATGGGAAAACTGAGGTCCGGAGAGGTGGCGTGATTTGTCTAGGTCGTGGAGACCTGGGACGCCATCCTAGGCGTCCTTATTCCCCGCCCAGGGCCCTTTCCGATGACCCTGGCCCCTTTCTCCCTCTAATTGAGCTTCAGACCTCTTCAACTCTTAATTAGTGAAAGTCACGAACACCCTTGCATTTCCCTCGCCTCCATTTCCAACTCTTGTTGCTTTTAGAGATGCTTGGGGAACTATCCCAGCGTACCGAGCGGGACTTGCGTTGACTGGAGCCAAGCTGTGATTCCCTTGGAATTGCACTTTGATCCTGTTCGATCCTGATGTTTCCCCTCTCCCATTTTCGGCACAGGTAAAATGTAGGAGACCTAGCTGTATGGAACAGAAAAAATAAAAGCTCAAGCTAGGGTGTCCCAATAGTTCTGCCACTTTCTAGGCTTAATTACGTAGTTATTTACTTTCTCTAAACTTCAGTTCTTTCATCTATAAAACGGACAACATTCTCTTGGGTTAGTTTTGAGATTAGAGAAAATGTGAGTAATACAGTTGGCAGTGTTCTGGCTCCTAATAAGTGATTGGTCGGTGGTTGTATTTTTCCCTTAGAGAGCTGAGAAGGAGTTATAGCTGTACAGAGGGAAAAATACACTCCTGGCACTGGGTCCCTCTCAGAAAGCCACGTTAATATCTTTACTAGGCCATTCACCTGCACCACATGGTCATGTGTAAAATGAAGATGGCAATTCCAACTTAGAAAGTTAAGAAAATGAAACGAAATAGTAGATATTAATATGCTTTTAAGAAATATTTGGTGTAATGAGATGGCCATCTATGGGGTTCCAAGCATAGGAACCAGTATTAGTATTAGTACCAGATATGGGTTCAAGTCCAAGCTCTGTCACTTTCTAACTGTGATTTTTGGGTAATCTTCCTGAGGCTTGGTTTCTTCACCTATAGAGTTGGGATAATAATAGTCCCTGCCTTGAGGTTCTAATGCCTGTGGTTTAACACTGGGTTTAGTCAGTATTCGCTGTTAATGTTGATGTAGGTATACCATACCTCAGGACACTGTGGCACAGTACTTGTGTAGTTAGGGGGACCCTCTCTGAGCAGAGCTTTACAGAGGAGAAATGGGATGTTTAACCAGGAGAAGAGAAGACTGTGGACCGAACGGTGGTAAAGAGGCAACAGTGGCCCGGAGGTTAGGAGCTTGTGCTCTAGAGCCACACTGCCAGGTTTAGATGCTGCCTCAGTGACTAGCTCTCTATGTCGCCTCAGGAAGGTTACTTAATCTCTTTGGGCCTCAGATTTCTTTTTTTTTTTTTTTTCCTGAGACAGAGTCTTGCTCTGTCATCTGTCACCCAGACTGGAGTGCAGTGGTACCATCATGTCTTACTGCAGCCTCAAACTCCTGGGCTCAAGTGATCCTCCTGCTTCAGCTTCCCAAGGGGCCTTAGATTTCTTACAGTAAAATGGGGATGACGATAGTTCCTACCTGATAAGATTGTTGAGACGACAATGTGGGTTAATATGTAAACGGCTTTGACAGGACCCGGGCCTCTTTCTATCAAGGGTAAATCACGATTATATTTTTTTTTTTCTTCCCTCTTCCCTCTGCTGTCTTGAAACTGTTAACTTTTCAAATCAACTTGGTTAGTGGAACAGATTTAAGCCGAATAAATATCCACAATGAGGCAATTAGCGGGGGCCATGTGTATGCTGCTAAGGATCTGTCGACCCCACTGAACGCCTCAGGAATCCCTGCTAGGAAGCAGCTGGAACATGATCAACCACGTCACACTGACTGGCCTTTGTTGCAGTCCAACAAAGCTTCTACGAGCAGCTAAGGCATGGACCGGAGTCCACTGAATGTTCATAGAACGTCCCCAACAGGAGCTAATTGAAGGTCCCTGCATACCTTGAATCTCCCCTCCCAAACAGTGGCTGTTCGAGGCTGGCGCTAGTATATCACTAAAACTATCTCAGCTGGAACGATAAGCTTCATGAGACAGGGACTTTGTTTTGATTCAATGCTGTATGTTTCTAAAGGCCCTGGGACATAAAGCTGTCGTATAATACAGATTGGAGTGTTTGCTGGAAATGAATCTAAAACCTGCTTCAGCGGAGCGTTGGGTGGCTTCACGACTCTGTATTCCCTAGAATTTGGAGGGACCGAGTGGGCGGCATCAGCCTGAGTCAGGAGTCCGAATAACCAGAACCTGGCGCAAGCATTGGAAGCTCCCTAAGTCTCGTGACCGAAAGTTAACATAAATTACCAGGCGTGGCGCAGGCGCGCTGCTGTAATGGCCCAGCCTACATCGGAGGCCTGAGGCAGACAGAATCCTTGAACAGGTGAGGAGGTTGCAGGGAGCCTAGATCACGCCTTGCGGCTCCAGCCTGGGGAGCAAGAGTGAACTTCATCCTCAAAAAAACAAAAAGAATCTAAAACCTGCTTCCAAGTTGCTTTATTATAAATTAAAACTCAATTAACCTGTCCTTCAACCGTGAACAGACTCTTCACAAAATAATCACAGTTTTGTAAACACACTTAACATTTTGCCACGTCACATACAAAGAAGCCATTTACAGTATTATTATCTTATTTATAAGAGTTCTCATTCTGGTCTCTCCAGGCTGCGAGAGTAGTGACGTGATCTCAGCTCACTGCAACCTCCACCTCCGGGTTCAAGTGATTCCCCTGCCTCAGCCTCCCAAGTAGCTGGACTACAAGTGCACACCACCTATGCCTGGCTAATTTTTGTAATTGTTAGTAGAGACAGGTTTTCACCAGGTTGGCCAAGGCTGGTCTCGAACTCCCCGACCTCAAGTGATCTACCCCACCTGCCTCCAAAGTGCTATGGATTGACTAGGCACGAGCCACCCATGCCTGGGTGACCCG